GGTCTAGAAAGATTGAATGCGTCAAAAAGCATGTAGATAGTTGTTTTCTCAAATGGAACAAGATCAGTCTGGAGATTACTGGCTGCTCTATCATACGAAGACAATTTCTCTGTTTCATATGTCAAAAGTAATGTGTCTTGATCTACAATGCAAATATGCTCTAGAGAAAGATAAAACTATGAAAAACAAAGTGAAAGTCAAGAGGAACAGAACAGCTCTATATTCTGAAATATCCAGAATCTGACTGACTGAGTATGGTTTTACGTCGTTTCTAGCAAAATTCCAGCAATATCACGGTGGGGGATACCAGAAATGGGCTTCAGATATTGTACCCATGTGGGGAATCGAACCCGGGCTTTGGCCTGACAAGCGAACGCTTTAACCACTGGGCTACCCCACCGCCCCCCAGAATCTGAGGATATTTTAATATCCCATACTTAAAGAATGTTTGTTTGTTTATTTGTTTGTTTGTTTCACTCAAATTCTGGTGTCAATATAATCTAATCAGGACCAAGCAAGCATCTAATGACTGGGCAGATATTTTTCATAAATATGGGTGTCAGGTCTTTGAAAACATGAGCTAAAATATTACAATTGTTACTCTCTAAATTTTTTATCATGAAAGATTATATCCTTCATCAAATCAAATATTTGTTTAGATCTTATACATTTATATATATGCACTTTCATATGTGCAAATATTTCAGCATGATAAACAAATAATACATGCCTCCATCATGAATAAAACAAAGTAATAAAAACAGAAAATAAATTTTAAAACATATACGACTCAAAAAAAAGAACACCCTATTTTTTGTGTCATGGCCGCTGGGTATGTCAACACATTGTCTTCAAATTGTCAGTGTTCTTAACTTGTTGTGAGTTGTCATTTTACCTAAACATTGGTTGAAATATTCAACACTATGTCAGCAGTTGTACAGCTTTTCTCGGCTCGAATTGAACAATCGGGATTTCTAGCTTGCATGTGGATTTTAGTGAATAGTGAATAGTCACACCCAGAAAGTCCCCCGTTGATGATCTCACTGTCGTGGGATTCAAATACACTGGCTAGTCCTCCAGTGAATAAATATGAGTATTGTGCAATAACTCTTGTAGCCCACACGTGACATTGACATGAAATATACAGCTGGATATTGTCGCAAATGAAATACTGACAGATCAGGGATAATCTGTGAGCCGTTTTACTGTTTAATTCCATTCTCATAATTACATTAATTCTACAACATAGTAAAATTCATATGGTAACGGATGTTGATAGAGATTGTTTGTTATTTAACGAGACACTCTGCAACATCATAGATGTATGATGGGTGCTTTTGAATAATCAAGTCCGGATCAGACAATACAGTGAATAGATCGTGTATCACTTCTAAAATAATAATAAATAATAATAAATGCATTTGTTTTACGCTATTTTCCATCTGTTGCGGTTGCTCAAAGCACAGACAATCTGATTATTATTACCCCAGATAACCCAACCTGCCTGTGAGGCACTAGAAGGTTAATAGTCACATGACTTGTCCCACCGGGTACCCATTTTCTGCTGGGTGAACAGGGGCAATTTTGAACAAACTCACTTGCCTAAGGTGAGACCACAGGAATCACATATGCTTTGTTGTGTGGCAGGACTGAACTCCTAGAAACTCTCAGGAGTCAAGCTGCCAAACACGGTCACCCATCCAAGGACTCTTCATGCCCAATGTTGTTTAACTACTGACTTGTGATCTGAGCTCCGTGCATAGCACCATACACCACACACCAAAAGCTGTTCCAAGACATTAATACTGTGAATGATATCCTGAGCAATGCTCCAAGTTCCTGAGTTCAAGAACACCCTATCAACCAAGTCTGAATCTTACAACTGGTTCCATTTAGCGGCCCCTTACAACCAGCATATATTGTTGGCAGCGTGCGAAATAGTTTCTAAATTTTGCTAGCCAGTCAGGCTAGCTATGCCTGAAAGTTACTAGACCTAAAAAAAATTCACTAGCCCAAAATTTGAATGTTCTAACTTGGGAAAAGATGACAAAAATAGATGAGAATAAGATATTGTCGGCATGACACGGGTTTCATCATTAAGCTGCTAATATGATGAACATTTTCATCAGACCATAATCTTGCATAATTTAAAAATGTATTATAACTTAACAAGTCTGAGGGTGATATATTTACAAAATGTCCCCATGAAAATTCACCAGCCAGTCAGGCCAGTGACTGTGGAGATTTACTGGCCCGACTGGATTTTAACTAGCCACGGGCTAATGGGCCAGTGGCTATTTCATACGATGGTTGTAGGGACCTATTCTAATCTAGAATCCCCATGGAGAGATGTTTATGTAACGACACAGGGACGAGAGATAATATTAGGGAATACAAAAAGCACATTATGAACTGTATCTAAGCACACCTCAGCCCATCCTCGACGGTCCAGGAAATAACGTCTCCATTCTGGCAAATATAAACACCCTGGACCCATTCACCACAGAAGCTTCATGACATCTTAAAGCAGGGAGGTACCAAATGGAAGTAAAAGAGCTGACTTGGATGAAAATGTTCACAATACAAAATACTATAACATTTGCAGAAAATTATGAAGACCTATGCAGAGAGTTATCTAGAATTGCACAGGGGCTAAAATTCATCCCAAAGTATGCAGCAAACATCATTTAAAATTCCCATATGGGAATTTAAAAAGTCCCATGTTAAAGATATAAAATTTACGCCTTTACCATAACCTGTCGTTCACTGAAGACATGACCAATAAGGCGGCTGTTTTTAATGATAACTTTTAATTAAGAGCATTTAATGTAACCTCAAAATGGTAAAATATCTCAGAATCTAAAAAAAAATGAATTTAAAACAAATCCCATTTTCGGACAAAATCCCAATTTTGAACAAAATCCCAATCTTTTCCCTAATTTGTCTGTTTAGTTTAGTTTAGAATCCCAGATAATCCCTGATACAGCTGTCTACATACCATGCAACAGTAGACAATGGTGGAAGGAACAAAATTCCTCTTCACAGACATCCTTTTACTTTGTTTTAGGTTAATCCAGACAGCAAATGAGAACTACATATCACCTGATGTCTTTCAGTGGCATTTAGAAGTCCATAGATGTCCAAGATATTTTTATGGATTAAACTTCTTTTTTATTTCTTTATTTTATTTTTTGTATTTTTTATTTATTTTTAGTTTCCATAAATAACAAAATCACCTGTTCAAGAATCTGAATCTGTATCGGAATGTCCCACTCACAAAATAAAGAAGTTGTTATCCATAAAGTTTGTTTGATATTGTACATCCCAGCTTCTAAAATGCCACTCAAAGAAGTTCCTGTTATAAGAGTTTGTGTCATCCAGCTGTAACAAGACAAAAAAGACAAGTGTTTTCCTGTCAATTTTATTCAAACTAGTTTCTATCAAATTTAAGCTTTGAAATCTATCAGAATTGCATTTCAAATGCAACTGGTCTATGAGGTCTACATCACTGGATTTTCATTTGACCTCAACACAAGTTAGGAGTCACAAGCTTTCAGGCTAGCATGAATTTCAATGGTTGCTTTGCTAACGAAGGTCAAAGTTCAGAATAGTTTATTACTAAATTGCAATGACGAAAACTAAAGATGGAAATGAATATATATTATTTCAGTTAACAACATGTGTAAAATTTTGTTCTGGGCACTTCAAAACGATGGTTCCCTACTGCTGAAGACTCCTTTAGAATTTCAATTACATTTAGAAAACTGACACAAATGTGAATTCTTGTCATAATAATGTTAATGTACACTGTCATCCTTGAAAATATTCATGAGCAAACACCAACAAATTGTGAAATAAACAGACGCAACTCATATTGCATAAAGATTTACATTAAAGGTTATCGCACTACATCGCTGTTAATACATTACAAAAATCATTTTTTTAAAATTACATTTAAAAAAAAAATGTCTGCATAAAAGATTATACTCTCAAACACCTGTTGTTTGAATAACACTTACAGCTCTCCATGCTTGTCTCGGTAGCAATATCATCGACATAATATCATTCACTTTATCAGTAGGACCATAAACCTGTCATTTAAACAATACCACTTTTGTTCCCTTTAAACAATGATAAAACCAATGAGATTGACAAAAGATGACGGACAGCTTTAAATCACTTACTTTTACCGTCCATGTTTGGAAAAATCAACAGAGTTTTCAAACAGCTAGCTTGTATTGAAACTGTATATCAAACAGCTTCAGTGCAAATCACTTCCATCGTGTTTGCAAATGTCTGAGACAAGCAAATAGCTGGCCATACATCAATTACAGCAGAATACATATGTATCCAATTGTGGGGTAAATTTGACAAAGGCTGAACTGAACTTGGGGCACAGGGCATCGAGGGGGAGCAAATCAGGGAGACGGGAGCACTGGTATACAATGCACGTCACACTCACTCTAATACAGACCAACTAACTACTCCTTTCTCTTTAAACTGTCAAATCCAAATCAAGTTTCAAGAAACCTTAAATCATATTAACCCTTTTAGTCTGGACTCAGCAACATGAAAGGTTATTTCATTTAAAGTTAAACTATTTTAAACAACCATGTATATGGATTCGTTGACCTTGGATTTTACAGAAATATACAGACGACTTTGGGAATAATGCATTTTCTTCCTTCCAGCCAGAGTGAGTCAAGTTTTCTAACTGAGGCAATCCTTTGAATTTCCATTAATTTTATTTTAAAAAATCCGACATTTTTTGGGGGAAAAATCATCTATTTTAGATCATATTAAGAATAGAAAATAAATGTCATTTTGCCAAAAGATCCTATTGGAACTGATTTATAACTTCAAAAGACAGATATAAAGTGTAATCACAAAATATAAAGTAAAATTCAACTGCCATTTCTACCCCCAATCTACCTACCCATCCACAGATTCTCTCCCCAATCTTATTACCCATCTACCAATTCTACCTCCAATCTTCCCAGCCATCCAACAATTCTACCCCCGGCCCCCTACCCATCAACCGATTCTACCCCCGGCCTCCTACCCATCCATCAATTCTACCCCTGGCCTCCTACCCATCCACTGATTCTACCCCCGGCCTCCTACCCATCCACCAATTCTACCCCTGGCTCCCACCCATCAACCTATTCTACCCCCGGCCTCCTCCCCATCCACCGATTCTACCCCCGGCCTCTCACCCATCCACCGATTCTACCCCCGGCCTCCTACCCTTCCACCGATTCTATCCCCGGACTCCTACCCATCAACCGATTCTACCCCAGGCCTCCTACCCATCAACCGGTTCTACCCCCGGCCTCCTACCCTTCCACCGATTCTACCCCAGGCCTCCTACCCATCAACCGATTCTACCCCCGGACTCCTACCCATCCACCAATTCTACCCCGGCCTCCTACCCTTCCACCGATTCTACCCCGGCCTCCTACCCTTCCACCAATTCTACCCCGGACTCCTACCCATCCACTAATTCTACCCCGGCCTCTCACCCATCCACCGATTCTACCCCGGCCTCCCACCCATCCACCGATTCTACCCCGGCCTCCCACCCATTAACCCGATTCTATCCCTGGCCTCCTACCCATCCACCAATTCTACCCTGGCCTCCTACCCATCCACCACTCCTACCCCGCCTCCTACCCATCAACCGATTCTACCCCTGGCTCCCACCCATCAACCTATTCTACCCCAGGCCTCCTCCCCATCCACCGATTCTACCCCGGCCTCTCACCCATCCACCGATTCTACCCCGCCTCCCTACCCTTCCACCGATTCTATCCCGGACTCCTACCCATCAACCGATTCTACCCCCAGGCCTCCTACCCATCAACCGGTTCTACCCCGCCTCCTACCCTTCCACCGATTCTACCCCAGGCCTCCTACCCATCAACCGATTCTACCCCGGACTCCTACCCATCCACCAATTCTACCCCGGCCTCCTACCCTTCCACCGATTCTACCCCGCCTCCTACCCTTCCACCAATTCTACCCCGGACTCCCTACCCATCCACTAATTCTACCCCGGCCTCTCACCCATCCACCCGATTCTACCCCGGCCTCCCACCCATCCACCGATTCTACCCCCGGCCTCCCACCAATTAACCGATTCTACCCCTGGCCTCCTACCCATCCACCAATTCTACCCCTGGCCTCCTACCCATCCACCAATTCTACCCCCGCCTCCTACCCATCAACCGATTCTACCCTAATCTTCCTATCCATCCCCAAATCTACATTCCCACAGGTGCAGCAGAAAAACTTTACATGAAGAATTGAATAAATAACTCTGGCATGAAAACATTTGAGCCCAGATATCCAGTCACTGACATGCTTAACATGTTTAATTGCAATCCATTTGAAGAAGAATACAATCACTTAAACAATCTACCGTCCAATCCACCAACCCTACCCAAAGTCTAAACATGGTGTATTATCTCTTGAAAAACTGGTGCATTTACAGATTCCAATTTATGACAGATCCTCACCTATAACAAAATGATTTCCATAGTCTATCCCAAATCTCACTAATCACAAAATACAGAATATTTTGGGATGTGTTGGCAGCAAAATAATAATGTTCCAAATATTTTCCCCATTCAAATAGGTGTGGCAGATTTGTATCTAAAGAATAGTTTCCTAGTTTCCTAAAGTGTTATTCAATGGACTAGAATAAATGACCATTAACAGAACTACCAATATATATATAATAAATATATCAAATAAATGATGAAACAAAACAAAAAACTTCTTATCAAATCCAATTTTCTATTCATAACATATACAATATTCTATTTTCTTGTCATAACATGTACAATATACAAATAACTTCAATTCATTCCTGTCCTCATATTCCCTATCGCAAACTACAGCTGTTGTGACATGACCAAAATGATATTTTCAAATGTTTCCCAGCTGTGGTATTCTATCAATGCCTGCAAGAATAGACTGGAAAAACTCCAGGTAAATTGGTGCTAAATCAGAGACTTATTTGCATACAATGCACAGAAAAATCAATGGTTGTTGTTCTCTAAGCATGTAATAATATACCACTCCACTTCTTGTTCGATGTTTTGACTGTCCAGATGGCCACTGACTTTGACTGACTGCTTGGAGAGGTTGTCATGCAAACAGTATTTGTTATTACAGGCAAACTACACGTGATATTGCCAACAGTATCATTCTTGGTATATTGCTTGGAGATGTTGTCATGCAAACAGTATTTGTTATTACAGGCAAACTACACGTGATATTGCCAACAGTATCATTCCTTGGTATATTGCTTGGAAATGCTGTCATGCAAACAGTATTTGGTAGAACAATCACTAATAGAACTCTCTCTACTATCTATGAAGGACAGTTTCAACCATTAATAGAACTCCCTCTGTGATCTATGAATGACAGTTTCAATCATTAACAGAACCCTCTCTGTGATCTATGAAAGACAGTATAAATGATTAATAGAACTCT